AGATAACAAAAACAAACTACAATCAATGACAGATAACAAAAACAAAAACAAACTCTAAACAATTAAAAAAAACTTACTGTCACCGTTAGAAGACGTGTTTGTTCCAGCAGGTTCAGTAATCGATAGGGCTTCACACTTTTTGATCAAATCAGTCATGAAGGCCATGGCTGATTTATACAAATCATCATCCAATGCAACCCTGCTGATCATTGATGCAGAAACAGCTGACAGATTGAAAAGACGAGAACGGTATTTCGATGGACTATCAGTAGACGGAACTTCAAAAGAAAAGTTCCCTCCAGTTTTCGCTGCCCTTGTCCACCGCTTCAAAATCAAACTGCTAGGAATGTGCTGGAACTTCAGATTGCACGTTGTAGACCACAACATATCATATCCCTTAATTTGATGCTTACAGATCATACCACTTGACTCCCACTTACGGCACGAACACTTGATTTCACCGTTTTCAAAATCAACCTTCAACACCCTACTATCCAACCTTGTAAGGTCATCCTCCAATATGAAGACATCAAACAGTCCTACATGTCCTTCTGGTTCTATCTCCGTATTGGAAAAAATATTATACGCAAGGGATTCCTTGTACTGATCCAGGAAAAACTTGAATATCTTCGGCGTATACACATTAGCAACTTGCTTCACAATAGGGCTAGTAGAAAACCGGAGAATCAGCCAACCTAGATAACGCATAGTACTCTTCTTGTTCTTCAGCATCCCTCTTATTATCAAGCATCCTCTCAAAGTGCACAAAGAACCTACTAACACTAAACTCTGACTGCAAGTAATGTCGAATATTACTATTGCAGCACTCACTTAGCTGGGTACTCTTCATTCCCGCACCAAAATGACAATTCACCCAGGCTGAAGACCACTTCGTCCTGACTTTGTAAATGCCCTGTAACCAACTGTGTCCCAAAGGTCCCTTCCCAGGAAAACACTTCTCAATCATCTTCTTCCAATTATACTCAAAATCATCCTCATCATCAGCATTATACATCAAATAACTAAGCTCACGAAGGAAGTCAGAGTCACACAAACTTCCCAGATTAACAACTGCATTCTGAGCAATATGCCATGTACACAACCCATGAAAACAATCTGGGAAAACAGACCTTATACCAGCAGCAATTGCAGCAGTCTGGTCAGTAAACATTGATAACGGTCTCACACCTCCCATGCATTTCAAAAACTGATCGAAAAGCCATTCAAATGTTGCTGTTGTTTCATCATAGAGAAGAGCAGCCGCAAAGACAGTCAGTTGGTGATGATTGTTGAAACCAACAAACAAAGCTACATAAACATAACAAAATGTGAGTAAAAACAATTCTACCAACACATACCATGTGGTAAAAGGTACGAATAACAATAATACCAACCCATACCATATGGTAAAGACTCATACCATGTGGTAAAGACTTCTAAGAACAAAAAAAAAAACAATCCACAGCAGACTACCATATAGTACACACTTCTAACAACGCAAAAAACACCACAAAAAACCTTGTTACCAACCCATACCATATGGTAAAAAACTTTTAAGCACAAAAACCACCTCAAATAACCTTGTTACCAACACATACCATATGGTAAAATACTTTTAAGAACAAAAACCACCTCAAATAACCTTGTTACCAACACATACCATATGGTAAAAGACTTCTAAGCACAAAAACCACCTCAAATAACCTTATTACCAACACATACCATATGGTAAAATACATTTAAGAACAAAAAAAAACATGATACAGAATGATAATAATAATACTCATACAAACTAACAAACACAATAATAAACAACAAACTAGAAAACATACCTAGTGGCCGATACTCTTTGTTAGTCCGGTAAGTAGTATCAAAACTAATTGAATCACCAAAATAATGATAATCCATCCTCATCTTCCCATCTGCCCAAAAAATACTAGTAATGTTCTCTTCAACATCAACCTCCACCTCATGAAAGAACCCAGGATCCAGCTGTGCTTGACGTCTAAAGTATTCAAGCAATGCAGTCGCATCACCATACTCCATTGATGACGTCCTAACCGTTCGCAGATGGTTCTTCAAATCATTCTTTGTGAACCCAACAAACTTCCTACCACCACCAGCCCTACTAATTGCATTATACGAAGAAGTCACACCAATACCAGCAGCATCATTCACCTCTGCCAGCATCTTATACACAGGAGCCATTCGTCTGCTGGATCTCACATAGTGACGCAGAGACTCAGGAATCATGTCATGGTTGTGCACATTATACCAACGATAGATCTTGTAGCATTTAAACTCTTTAAACCACCTCAGTCGTATATAAGCACCATTACATCCACCCCTGAGTTCTGGAACATTACGAACACGAACTGTCGTATCAACAACACCTGCATTATCAGGGTTATTCTCGCTACCTCTTTTCCAACCTTCCTTATTGCAACAATACTTGATATAATATACAGCTGAAGAACCACCATTGAGTTTCGGACACGCTGATTGGTTATAAATCCTCACACCAAAACCTTCATGATTCCCATAATCAACATAAAAATTATATGCATCATCTGGTGTATTGAACTCTAAGTCCTTCCAAGAATCACGAACAGTAGGATCTATACCATTGAAACCTACAAACATTATGAAACAACATATTAAATGGATTCCACACCACAACAGTATGAAATATCAATGTATACCAATAATTACAGCCATGATACACGAGTTACCACCATAGTTTGGCATGGTAAAATCAAACTACAACACTATACCACATGGTATGGCATGGTAAAATCAATTATCACACACAACCCTCACATTTAACTTCCTAATTACCACATTTTACCACATGGTAATGTACTGTAAAATCAATTACCACATGATAAAGGCATGGTAAAATCAAATTACCACCCTATACCATATGGTATGGCATGGTAAAATCAAACTACCACACTATACAACATGGTATGGCATGGTAAAATCAAATTACCACACTATACCATATGGTATGGCATGGTAAAATCAACTATCACACAGAATCCTCAAGTTTAACTTCCTAATTACCACATTTTACCACATGGTAATCTACTGTAAAATCAATTACCACATGATAAGGAATGGTAAAATCAAATTACCACACTATACCATATGGTATGGCATGGTAAAATCAATTATCACACAGAAACATCACATTTAACTTCCTAATTACCACATTTTACCACATGATAATGTACTATAAAATCAATTACCACATGATAAGGCATAGTAAAATCAAATTACGACACTATACAAACTTCAATAAACAAATAAATTTGCATATCTTACCTCCTGATTCACCAGAGTTAGCTGAATGATCAAATCCAAGATCAATAGATGAAGAAGCAGTTCCAACAGCACTAGATGAAGAACCAGATCCTACAACGCTGGTTGAAGAACCAGATCTATCAATTGGAACAACATCGCCACAATTTACGTTACTCATCTCACCAGAATACTGCCAAAACACCAAAACACAAAGAACATAACACATGAACAAGCTCGATTAGCTAAACATAAACAAGCTCGACTAGCAGCAATCAAAAACCTCCAACGAAACCAGAGATCAACAGAAAACTCGATTAGCTAAACAGAAAGAATCAAAAAAACTAATATCTAACCTCGTCGTCGATCAATTATGGAGAATCAGAAAAGATTCGCCGTCCCCTGTTTCGCAGCCGCTGCTCGCAATTTCTCTCTACAAAAACCGAATCCAACTCGCGCACACGTCGATCAATTATGGAGAATCAGAAAGCTCGATTCGAAGCTGCTGCTCGCAGTTTCTATCGCCGTCGATCAACAATGGAGAATCGCCGTCCTTATTTCTCAGCTGCTGCTCCCCCTGCTCGTAGTTTCTCTCTCCAAAATCCGAATCCAACTCGCGCACAGAAAAGATTTGCAACGGACAAAGAGGGAAAGTCATTTAATTCAAATATAAAATATCGGACAAAAATGCCCCTGACCGTGGACAAAAAACCCCGCATCAATCACAGCCACAAGATCCGTCCCGCCAAGATCGACGGTCCCTATGTGGTTACTCACGGGTGAGTAACAAAGGGTTACTCACCCTATCCTAAGCCAAAAATCAGACCCAAAAAGAGTAGGTAGGCGCGTTATCTTTCGTCGGAAGAATAGTAAGAAACAGGGGTTAAGTGGGAAACTTTTTGAGTTTGGACTTTTTTACTTAAAACCTGCATACATAAACAAACAATGATTTTAGCTAAAATACCACATACAAATTTCTTGGGTCTTCATTTGTACATTGTTTCGTCCAAACGTCTCTTTAGGGTTTAAGAGAATCTCTAAGCATTAATAACACTTATATAGTCCCGTTAAGAACATTTGATTTTGTTCGTGCTTATGCAACAAGCTAAAAAAAGTACAAAATATTCTTTTATAATAACCTATGAAAGGGCACAATAAGTCTGGTTATGCTTTCTGAATTTCGTACATACCTTAAAATTTTAGGTTGTGAAATTTATAAAAGAAATGCGAAGTGACCTTCGGAATATTAATGATACCTAAGAAGATATTTGTGGATATCTTTTCAATCCAAAGTATTGATATTTACAAATATTTGATTTACTTGCTAAATATATATTCAAATTTCCAAATCACAAATAATAACATTATATTCTACATATACCAAATTTAAGATGGAAGTATGTACCATAAGGGAAGTTTTGTCGATTCAGTTCTTGAGTAAACCTTATAAATCACACACCACAATAACAAACCCTCTCTAAAACTGTGAAAAGTAAATCAACAAATGTTTACACAAATTATGAAACCAAAAAAAGGTGTAAAAAAATGAATCAATCAAATCTCTCCCTTTCCCCTGCCCCTCTACATCTCTTACAAGTAAATCACGACAAGATAGAGAAAGAATCAAAATGGAACCTGATTGGATGATCAACTTAAATCATCGCCATCAATATAAAGAAGAAAGAAGAAAAAAGCAATCAAGTGGAACTCAAAGCAGCAAACCCACCGCCTTTCATCATCTGCTTGAACTCCTTGAAATTGACCATCCCATCGCCGTCGACGTCGACCTTCATGATCATCTTTCGGCAGTCCTCGACGGTCCGGCCTTGCTTGAGCCCGAGGGAGGCGAGCACAGATCTGAGCTCATCAACGGTGATGAACCCGTCGCCGTTCTGGTCGAAGACGTTGAATGCCTCCCGCATGTCCTCTTCCTCGTCGCGCTCGTCCATTATCGTCTGGTAAAGCTCCCCGAACTCGTCCATGTCGACGAACCCGTCGCCGTTGACGTCGATCTTCTCTATCATCTGCGTGAGATCCCCTTCCGGAATGTAGATCCCCAAATTCTGCAGCGAGTCGCTCAGCTCCTTCCTGGTGATCTTCCCGTCCCCGTTCCTATCGAACATCTGGAACACTCTCTTTAGCTCCGTTGCGTCCATTTTTTTGTTCCCCCCCTGCTTTTGTATTCTCCTCTCGATTAATCCTCTCGGAAGGGTCGATTGAATATTGAGAGGGGAAGGGGAGGTTGGATTTGCTGCTAATTGATTGATTGAAAAGGTTTGTTGCTGTGTTTGGGGATTCTAGGGTTGAAGGAAGTACGATGGGGTTTGAAAAGGGAAGGTATAATTAGGGATTGTGGGGAATTGCAGAGATGGAGGGATGAATGGAGATGGATGGAGAATGAATGGAATTTGCTTTAAGTGGGAGGGGAAAGTGAATGAGTGGTGTAAAATTTCTGAAGGTGTTAAAATGAACGGGAAGACGCGTATTTAGGGGAGCTGATTGGTTGTTTGCTCGTTGAAAGTTTGAATGAGTCGCCTTGGAAAGGGGGGAAGGGTTTTTGGACCGTTTGAGTTGAAACGGGCAGCGGGAGAATCATTGTTTTTTTTTTCACGACCAGGAACACTCTTCACGGTCACCATCGTCGTAATCGGGCCAAATCCCGGGACCTTCGCCAACAGTCCGGACAAATGCGGTGTGCCTCCGAGAAAACTATGATGGTGGTGAGGATAGAACCTGGGACCTCTCGATCACTGGTCTGCCTCCCTTACCACGAGGCTATGTGACCTTTGGCGGAGAATCATTGTTGGTTGGTTGGTTGGCTGGCTTGAGTTTCTGTCTTTCTACTTTGTCCAAGAGTGAGTGGGTGTATTTGCGGGGTCTAAAATAGAGTAGAATGCATTATGCATACAATTTCATGACCAAATATAGCTCTTGATTTTAAGAGCATCCACAACGGTTGTCATGTTGCTATTTCATATTTTATGTGACACTTTCATTTCCCTTTTCATTGTTGGAGCTCCTATTTCATAAAGGGGATCTTCTACTTAATGAAATACCAAATGGGAGAGAAAGAGTGGGCTCCACCCACGTTTATGTTATTTTTCTTTTGCTTTCTTCATTTCTATTCTATTTTGTGAGTTGTGAAAGAGTGTATTTTTGTTTTGTGTGCGCACTATGAAATAGATAATAGATTTCATTGATGTAGAGGAAATGAAATTGATTTGTAGTGAAATGAAAAAGATGGCTAATGTGGCAGTAGGGACCACATATGAAATAAAAATATTATTGCATTGATGTAAATGGTCTAAATGAGTTGATATCTAAAGGATAAGATCAAAGAATCGTGCTATTTGTAGTCCTAAACTAATAATAAAAAAAATTACACTAATACATTAAACTCTCACTTATATATATACTCAATGCACACATTTTATATACTACAAAAAATTCAAATACACTCCAATTGAAGTGTGTCATCGGCCCACCATCTCCTGTCGCTGGGTCGGATCGAGATACCGTACCCAATAAAATTTGGAAATACAGAAATTATCTTCTTACTATTATTTAGGCTTGGCAATGGGCCCGCGGACTTTGGATATCCGCCGGGGCTCGCCCGCCAGTATTGGGGTTAAACCCGCGAGGCCGGTGAGATTCGCGGTTGCGGGCAAACCCGCGACCCGTCGTGCGGGGTGATGGGCTGGGCACGAATTCTGGGATCCCTGGCCCGTATCCGCCCCGATAGCAAACGACGTCGTTTGCTGCGCATATATAATGCCTCATTTTTGGGGTTAGGGTTTGTGGACAGTCCATTTTCATCAAACGCCGACCTTCTTTCCCCGATTTCCTCTCAACCCATCCGAGGCGAATCACCGATTTCCTCCCCAAATCCCTTCGATTCCGCCGACTTCTCCTTCTTCCCGACTATTCTCCCTCGCAAATCGACGATCCCATCATCCATAACACTACATCTTACTGTAAATCAACCCTCCAAACTCCGAAAATGTCTCAATCGACAGAAATCTTCTCTGAATCGTGCATGCAAAGGATTTCTTTCCCAGATCGAGATAAGTATTTAGTTCTTTATTACCTTATTCCAATTTTGCTCATAGACTTATAAATAGGTGACTAACTTCGACATTTTGTTCATATGCAGTTCATCGAACCCAAAATCCAGAAACCCTAGCCTTCCAGATTTCGAAACCCTACTTTGCTGCGTTCTCAGTAAGTTTGTTAGACATTAGTTAGTTCATTAATTGATGTTGGTGCATGCTTAGTTCGACAAAATCAATAAATCCCTAATCATCCAAATTTCATCTTTTGTTTTTGTAGCTTGCTATTCGGGAGTCGCTTCTCGCAACTGGTTCTTCAACTGCTTTCTGCCGAGGTAAATCGCCATTCCTTGTTTGATGGTTCTTGGTTGTTGATGTCTGTTCTTGGTGTGTAATATTATTACCCTAGTTTAGTAATTGTAGACTAATCACCTTTGAAGTAACCATCGTATACTACTGATCAATTTGATTATGCTCCATTAAAACTAAGAACTGAATGAGTATCCATGAGTATCCCCTTTCTATTGTCGACCACCTTTATTTCAAAAGGTTTTGTTGCACGTTGAACCCTCTCTTCAAAGTTCCAACCCGAAATACCATAAAGAAGGATATAGTTACTATATATGGTTTAGAGAGGGCTAAGATTCAAAAGGTCCTTAATGAAAACCGAGGTCGTATAGCTGTCACAACTGACATGTGGACTGCCACAAACCAAAAAATGTCTTACATGGCTGTCACTGCCCATTATATAGACAACTTTTGGAAGTTGCGAAACCATATGCTTATGTTTGGATATTTCCCTGCCCCCCCCCCCTCCCCCACTAGTGAGAGGATGGCTGCAAAGCTAGCTCAATGCCTCCGATCTTGGAACATTGATAGTACATTGTCAACTATTACTCTTGACAATTGTACTACCAATGATTCCATGATAAATCTAATTAAACAAAGGCTAGTGTTATCGAATCTAATTAGGGATGGCACACTTCTTCATATGAGGTGCTCTGCTCACATCCTTAATCTGATTGTGAGGGATGGACTCGATGTATTGAAAGATGGTATTGAGAAAATAAGGGAGAGTGTGGTCTTTTGGACCTGCACTCCCAGGAGAGTGGAGTTTTTCCATGCAACTGCCCAACAACTCAAATTATCTGTTTCTAAGAAGTTGGTATTGGATTGTCCCACTCGTTGGAATTCCACCTACGAGATGCTTTCTTGTGCTATCCCGTATAAGGAAGTGTTCTCTATATTGAAAATAAGAGAGCCTCAATATAATTCTCTGCCTACCAACGAGCAGTGGGACTTTGCTGCTGTTTTGGTTGACAAGCTTGATGTTTTCAGGAACATCACTTTAGTTTTTTCTGGTTCAAACTACCCAAAAGCGAATCACTTTTTTGCTAAAGTGTGTGATTTGAGGTTAAAGTTGATGGAATGGTTAAGTGATCCTAATCTGCTGATTGTTTCTATGGCTGGGAATATGTGGAATAAGTTTGTGAAGTATTGGGATGACATTCATTTACTGTTGGCTGTTGCTGTTGTATTGGATCCACGGTATAAATTGGAACTGGTTGATTACTATGCTGGAAAATTCGGTATCACTAATACTGATCTAGTGAGTGAAAGGGTCAAATCAGTTATGGCCGAATTGGTTGTTGAGTATCAAATAAAAGCCACCAAAAACACTGCTGCATCTTCTGCTGTTCATCCTTCTTCTTCGGCTACAGATCTGGATTTTGATCTGTATGTTAGCCAAAGAAAGAAAACCAAAATTTCTGCAGTAACCACCGAGTTAGATCATTATCTAGTTAAGGATGTTCATCCTAGAACACCGAATTTTGATGTGTTGGGTTGGTGGAAATTCAACGGTGCCAAGTATCCCATTTTGCAAGAGATTGCAAGGGACTTACTTGCTGTACCTGTTACTAGTGTGGCATCTGAGTCTGCCTTCAGTTCTGGTGGGAGGCTTCTTGATCCCCATCGGAGCAGACTTGATCCTGCAACAATAGAAGCCATGATGATATTAAGGACTTGGATTCAGGATGATAGCAAAGGTGATTTTTTTAGTTCAATTATGAATTATGTTTACTTTGCTATTGTTTCATTTTCTTGCTAATTAAACTGTTTACTTGAATCTTGCTATTGCTCCTAGTGTCTGCTGCTGAATTGAAAGCATTGAAGGGAGTTTTCTCTGCTAAGGCAATGGATGATGCCACGGTGGAAGAGAGCACAGGCAATAAACTTCTCTTGTTGTAATTTGTTTATTCAGTTCGCCTAGGAATTTTACTAAACAGACTGTTATGTATCAGATGGAGCTGGAATGCAAAAGGAGCTGGAAGGAGATGAAGACGAGGTTGCTGCAGTCAACCTGCTCGACTAGCTATTGGTGTCTGTAAGTGTGTTCTGTTTCCTTTTTTACTGTTAAAGCTTTGCTACTGCTGGAATTTTACTAAAGCCTTGCAGAACATAGTAATCTGAAGTTGTAAATGTTGTTGGAATTCAGGAAATCTTAATCTCATTGAAAGAAGATGTAAGGGCGAGAAAGAGAGACTTAGGAGTGAAGATTCAACACTGATTGTTGCTCTTCAGAATGGCTTCTGTTTTTGTTTTTTGTGTTTCAATCTTTCAGACTCGCAGTGTTATTTCAGAAGTTTGTTAGCTGGGATTTTTTTACACTCTGTGGGTTTCAATTCTGGGTTTGAGTGATTGTTATTTTTGGGTTTATTTATGGTCGGATTGTTGATTTTGAGTCAGGTTCCTGGGTTTGCAGACGGCAGTTCATGGTTGTTTGTTAGCTGGGATTTTTTTACACTCTGACTCTGTGGGTTTCAATTCTAGGTTTGAGTGATTCTTATTTTTGGGTTTATTTATGGTCGGATTGTTGATTTTGAGTAAGGTTTCTGGGTTTGCAGTTCATGGTTTCTTGTTGAATGTTATAAGAACTTGGTTTTCAGAAATTCAGATAATGCTTAGGGAATGAATTGAAATTGGTTGGCTTCTATTTCTGGACAGGTCACGGGTAACCATTGACCCGCGGGTTCACCGATACGCGTTTGGTCTTGGGCTTGGTCCAAAGTTTTTGCCCATTAAGGTTAATGGGGCGGGTCCGGGTT